ATTGCTAGTGAGCTTAGTTAGCTTTGTGCTTTTGCTTACTAGCATGTGTAGGAGCTCCCTTGTTACTTAAGGTACTAGTGGCATAGGTTTGTGTGACCTTGCTCCTAGAATTGTTTAGGAGAGCTCTAGCTAGCCCGGTACCTTAGTTGCTTTATTAGTATCTTTGCATGGTGCTAGTGAACATATATAGAGGGGTGTAGTCTTGGCTAGACCGATTGTTTTAATTCCGCATTTATATCGGTTAGCCGACGCGATTAATTTTAGAAAAGACTATTCACCCCCCCTCTAGTCCGCCATCTTGACCCTTTCACCCTTGGCCGCTGGAGCCACTCCCCAGCCGGCCGAAGCCCTCGCTATTCGGCCCGACGACAGCCCCCAACGCCCAACGGCGGCCTGTCCTCGTACCTGCTCGGTCTATGGTGAAGAAGGGGTGAAATGCGAATAGAAACTCTTTACCGTGTTCACTTTGCAAAATAGCCAGACACATACATTTACAAATCTGGGCTTGGTTGATTTGTGGAAACTCCTGGGTTCCCGATGCAAAATGTTTTTTTTCGGTTTAATCTATTAATTGCAGATTTCTATGCTCAACTTTGAAAATTCGTAGCAATTTGTAGAAAAATCGTAAAATAGCAAATGAGGACTTTTTGGAATCCTTGTGAAATTCTCTATGCATTAGATCTATAATATGGCATATTTTAGTTTCAATATTTGGCGGTAAAAATAGATGTGTGTAGTAAGGTTATAATGCTAGTTGAATTTGTTATTTTCCATAACTGTAGATCTAGGGCTCCAAATGAAGTGAAATTTTTGTGGCATGCTACTCATGTGATGTTTGATGTGTGGTAAAAATTTCATGAGTATTGGATGAAGTATGAGTGAGTTATTGGTTTATCTTGCTCTCACATGATTTCTTGCTTTAGCAACTTGTCTTTTTCATAGAGGTTGCTATACATATTAAAATGGAGTGAAATTTGTACAGTAGACTATTGAGAGGATATGTGAGCCATTGTAATTTTTGTAGAATTTATTGTATACTTTTGGTATATGTTCATTAAGTCACCTTGTTATCTAAAATAAATTAAGAAATACATTAAAAGAATTTATTTGGTCATGGAAACTAGTTTTTCTGGTGTTCTTTAGTCATGTGTGATATATTGGTAAAGTTGGTTTTGCCTAATTATGTGTTTGCAACATAAGTTAATATTTATTTTCTTGCAAATATGGTTTCTGGACAGATCTGGGAACTTAGCAAAGTTCTTTATGATAATGTGCTTTGTTGTGAAACTTGTTTATATAAAAGTTGTAGATAATTCATGTATCTAGCTTCTGTTAAAATTTGGTGTCATTTGGCCAAGTAGTTTGTGAGTTATGCCTATTTAAAGTTGGGTTTCCGAAATGGCTGCTCTCTGTCAATTGTGGACCAGTTTCTGTAAATATATAATTTCGACCTACTTAACTTGTGAATCATGCTATGATGGTTACAGATGAAGTGTAGATAATTTCATAAGCTTTCCAAAATGTCTTTTTGCATGTCCTTTGGAATTGTGTAACTCCAGTTATAGCTAAATCTTGTAGCTGCTGTTTGCATTCAAAAATTGGCAGATTCCGATTATAGTGTTTGGTTGTATATTGTTAAGTGTGACTTATGCCTTGAAGGATGACTGAGTTAGAGCACTTGAGATCTTGGAAAACTTGTGTCATGCTTGGTGTTGTCGTCTTCTTTGCCATCTTAGCATGATAGATTGTGTGATGTTTAAGTTAAGCATCGCAAAGTACTTAAGTGTGTTAGTGTAAACTATGCTTGTCTTGCTTGCTATTTTGTGATGCGTCTCATGGTACTCTTCTTCATAATTCATGCACTTGTATATTGCATCTCATCTAGGTACGCTAGATGCACCACGTGAAGGATGCGATGTTGGAGCCAAACCCGAAGACAACATTTGATGGACCTATTCCGAAGGTGGAATGACTGGACAAGTGCTAGGACGGGAGATGCTCACTTAGCGAGTGTCATCTAACAAACACTATCCTAGTGCTGGATCCCAGGCAAGCCCCGGAGCATATTAAGCCTCCTAATTTCTGAAATACAGTTAAAGTATTATTGTTACATATATATATATTGTTGCATTAAGTTTAGGTGTTGGATACAAACACTTGCTGCATTGGTTATCCAATCCTTGTCCAGATATTGATACCCTGAATCCTATGTAGCTCAGGCTCGTGTAGTGCTTAGCCCTGCTTAAACACGGTAGAAGTCGGGTGATTTTCTATCACCTGCGAGATATAGGAAGATACATATGGCACGGTTGGCTATATTTGCTATCATGGAAAAGAACTAGTCTTAATTTGAAATGAAGACCAGACGGAGGCTTGCCGATTTGCAGTGACTCCATCTGTGTCGATTAAGGACTGAATCTTGGAGCCTTTCCTGTTCATGTTGAACGCATGCCTCTCTCTTAGTTGGCCGGGTCTGGAGACCGACCACGAAGCCGAGTAGCTCACCTCAGGCCGAGAGTCGATAAGTATAAAGTGCGCCTCGGAAGGGAGCCGTAGGCGTGAGTCCAAGGGCAGGTGATTTAAAAGTCCTGATCGTCCTGGCAGAAGGGTAATCCCTGAGAGTGCTGGCGTTGATCGAACCCGCGAATTTGGTTCCTGAGTTGTCCCAAAGGTGACCCACGGCTACTCTTGCTAAGTATGCCAGGGTGAGAGTTAGGAATACCCCCTCAGCTGAGTTGTAATTCGATTCGAATCGCCGTCTCTCCCGGTTAGTGAGAACTTGACGGGCTTATCTTCAAAGTAGATACACTAAATAACCTAATGGTTTAGAAATGATGATATGATGATGACAGCCTTATTATACCTGCTATGGTTAATATTGTTTGCTCCTAATAAGTGAGTGTTCTAGTATAAGTGCTAATCTAGTGGACAGATAAATGATGATAAGCTAGATGCTAAGTTTAAATTGGTCACTATATTCATAAGCTCTTTTATGCAACTGTGTCAAGCTAGCCCACCTCATAAGCCTTGCATGACCCTTGGTGTCATTTGTTTTGGTTTCCGACGGGTAAGTCTGGCTGAGTACATTCGAGTACTCAGAGTTTATCCCACCATGTTGCAGGTGAAGTTCTCGGCCTGTTGAAGATGGTGGCTAACCGCCGATGGGCTCGGTGATTCTATAGTTACTTCTCATCTATATGCTTTTGTCGGATGATGTCACTTATGCTAGCAATGTATTTGGAACATATATTAATGTAATCTTTTGAAAGCTATATTGTTTTCACTAATCGGTTTTGAAACCCAAACTTGTACTATTATTTGTGAATTCATTTGTAATATTATTTTCCACTGCAACCCTGTGTATGTGATGTGTATTTGCTTAATCACGCGATCTTGGTTGTGATATTGATTTACCGAGGTCTTTCGGGACACTCGGCGGACTACCGGGTTTATATGAGTGAAGGTATGTGTGTGTCAACGTGTTAGTGGGGACAGCCATACTTGATCTTGTATAAATTTGACGGTTCTGTTACACATAACCCCTATCTTTTTGTTTTCAAATGTTATTCATTTAAGTCTTATGTTTTGTGCATTTAAGTAAATTAGGAATTGGTTGTATACCAACTGCTGCATGCCTGCCTTGATATTTCAATACCTATCCTTGTCACCCGGTTAGTAGTAGTAGGATAATGATGCTTAGCCATGCTTAATAGATAAGAGTTGAGCAATAAGTTGGTTTCAAATGTTCTTACCCAGGAAATGCCCTGTGGTTTAATAATGATCATGAATTTAATTTGAGACCGGGCGGACTCTTTGCTTACATCAAGAATGGAGTCTTAACATAGTGCCCCAACTGTGTCAATTGAGGACCGTACCATTGTAGGCCACCATATGGTCGGGACTTTATAGTACTGGCCACATACCCGGTAAGCCTAATACCTCGGCTATTCTATTATGTGAAAAGATAACTACGCACTAGGCGTGGAAGATGGTGAGAGTAGTGTATACACATTCTGTGGATCCACCAGGAGTGGCATAGGGAGGTGGATTATTGTGCTCTCGTGTAGCGCAGACCGGCTCACGTTTTGGAGTATGTGAGTGAAGATTGATATATGTAAGTCCGAAACCGGGACCTGCATATGTTGTGTGATAAAGAAACCCCAGCTGGGCCTAATCGATTCGAATTGCCGTGCTTCTCAGAGAAGGAGACCCGTTCCTCTGACTTACATCGTAGTTAATAACAATAACAGTAAATTAATGATCATGAGATAGATTGGATAATGAAGTGGATGAATTAGAGTAGGTGCAAACCAGAGACTTATAATGATTTAACTTAGAGTTAAAACGTTGAAAGTAAGGATCAAACATTAGTAAACTTTTCTGTAAAAGTTAATCTTGATTCTTGCTATGGACTTACCTTGATTCCCCGTAAGCTTGTATATCCTTGGAGTCTTTCTTTTTCGTCGGTTAAGTCTTGTTGAATACCTTTGTACTCAGGGTTTGTTGAACCCTTGTTGTAGGAGAAAAGCTAGCTGTTGAGAAGTTGTTGTGCACTCTTGGGCAGGGTGAACCCCTTTCCGTGAGTTGTAAAGTGGTTCCTATCATGCTACCCTACTGTCTAGTTGGCTAAAACTTATGATTTGTAATAACCAAAGTGAATGAATTGTAAACTTATGGTTTGTAAGACTTCTGCTGTTTATTCCGATGTATTATAAATGTATAACCTGTTGTAATACTGCGATGTCTTCTGTAATGTATCCTGCTCGGAAAGAGAAATTGGATGATTTGGGTTTTCGAGGACACCCGACAGACTACCAAGATTGTGTGGCTTACGTGTGCTACAGTCAGAAGTCTATGAGACAATGACAGGCACATGTGGACCATATAATTTGGACGGTTCTGCCACAGCGCACGATCAAATCATCACCAGAATGCTCGAAAGGATTTCCACAACAAGTGCGAATGCACCACCACAAATAAAACATCATCCGAACGCCAATCTAAACGTTGCCCCCAGCAGGGTGAAAAAAGAAATTATATCTACCATTGTCCAAATCCAACGTCGTCTCATCGGCTGGCTCGTCTTTGGGGTCCTTCAAACCAGATGATGATGCCTCTCCACGGTTTCGCTGGGACTGTTCACGACGGGCCCTTCGTTCATCCAAAACGGCCAGATCAAAATCCAAATAGAAAAACCTATTAAGGGCCGCTTCCTTCCTAAGCATATGACGAAATCGCAACCTCAAGAAGCCAGCCATGCTAGAAGTCGGAAATTTTTCGCGATGCCGAAACCACAAAGCGCCCCCAACACAAAAATCGCCGCAGCGAATCATTAACGGATAAACATCCAACAGTGGCACAGGCCCCGCATCAGGAACCTGCGCACCGAAACTAACATAGTTTAAAAACATGTACATACAACTGTCATCCTCCTGCCAAACTAAAACAGCGAATCCTAATTTTCTACCCCTTCTTGGCTGACATGTTTGCTCGCTCGGAGTATCGGTAGCCTCTTCGCCGGGAGTGCCAGCGGCTTTCTCGCTGGGTGTACCAGTCGCCCCAGCATCGGGAGTAGATGAGGCATTCGCTCCGCCCGAACCGCTCCCCACCGCTCCTTCCTTAGCATTCCGGGCAGCAATAAACTTCTTCACTTTCACCTTGATGGCAGCACATTCCTCCAGAGTCTGCAGAACATTCCGGTGATTAAGAACGTTTTCGCAATACAATACGAAGAAACAACGTCTTCGACAAACAAACCCACCTTACCGCGGGTCATGGTGGCTCTAAGAAGAGCAAGGTCCTTTCCGCCCGGGCGCCAGAAACCCTCAAAGAATCGCTTGGCGGCCTCATGGGCGGAGTCCGGAGCATTCCAATAAGAAAGGGGATCCTTGATCTCAACCCCTCCGACATGGTCGCAGTCACACTCCGTTAGAGCCTGAGCGAAGGCCCGGAGAGATATCATGGACACATACTCCCTGCCGATGGCCATGTGATCGCTTAGAGTGGCTAGCTCATCAGCCAGCCAACCCATGAAATCAACGATGGGCGCATCGCGAGGCAGCTCCTTCTCCTCGCCGACACTCTGGATCATCTCCTTGTAAATTGTGGCCACCTTTTGAGCATCGTCTAGAATTCTTCTTCGCTCTTCTTGCTTTCGCTGGCAGTAAGCGTCGAAATCTTCATGCATCTTTTCAATCTGCTCTTTGGTAGTCTTACGCGCGGCCTTGGCCTCCTCGGCTTGCTTCTTCGCCGTCTCCAGCTCCTGCTCAAGGGCTCGAATTTGGTCATCTTTATTCGCCAGCTCCCTTTGAAGACCGTGGTGCTACGCCTACCCTTGCTGTTTGATCCCCCGAGCCAGGAGCATGGCTTGCGGCACAACAGACGAAACATCAAGCAACCATCCAAAGAAATTAAGCAAAAAGAACAGGCGAAAGCACAAAAGCGTAAGCACTTACACTAACGGTGTGAAAGCTCACAGCCTCGGCAAGAGACGAATCAGATTCTTTCAGAAGGTCCCTCTCCACCTCCGGAACGGTGAAGGAACTGGCACAGGCGTCGGCGAAGTCTGCCGCGACCCTGCCGGGCAGCAGGCCAACGGTACGATGATAGACGTTCGCAATCACCCGAGAGCTTGAAGCGGCCCCTAAAGAACGAGCAATGCGATAAGTTTCTCTTTCGCATAGCTCATTTCACCGGACGTGCTCGACCCCGAGTACACCCGCATGTCGCCGTAGTCCTCAGGCCGTGAGCGAAGCTGCAATTCCCCATGACCGAACAGCTGCCCGCGAACTAAGCTGTCACTTAATTGAATAGACTCCGCATGGAATCGGGACTTACCCTGCTGTTGGGGCCGGAAACGTTAGCGGTGGCGGAAACAAGACAGGTAGGAAGGGTCGTTTCCTCGGAAGACTGTTTTGGCTTCTTCGTCCCAGCATCCACAGGCGGGTCGGCAGCCTTGCCGGAGTTTGTCTTGTGTTTCCTCCCAAAAAGATCACCCACCGACATTGTGTCAGCCACGCCGAAGGCATCCGCTACATCAGTAACTTTCCCCCTGCTACCCATCTCGTCGGAACTACTAGTAAACCAAGCATATCAACACACGAAAGTATCCCAAAAACGAAATGTAAAGTACTGCCAGCCCAAAACCCGAACGAAAAAGGAGATATAAGCAAAAGGCTAATCTACCATCTCAGTCCAGACTTGCCCGAAACACCGATTCTGTCCAAGTACCACCTTCTTGCTATTTCCCACCATACCTACCATCTCCCTCCTAATCCGAACATCGGCAGGCTCAGTGGAACCTCGACCCTGCCCACTGCATTTTCACTTACGCAACTCCAACACAGCAGTGTTCGTTCCCCGCCCCATAGTTTTCTTCCGCCTTCCACCCCTTCGACCCCGAGCCCCATGACCACTCAGGGCAGCCTCTTCAACGGGCAGGCTCATCGAAGGGCCTTCTCGATCGGCGTAACAAAGGCCCATGGCGTCGAATACCTAATTCAAGCGCCTCTTTCTGCCCAAACATCAGGACCTTCCCTTGTGTTCCTTGTCTCCGTACAATCCAATAATCTATTCGGCCTTGTGCTCTATGTAATTCATAAAGCTGAAATCAATCGAAAAAGCATTCTGAGGGAGCAACGTCAAGGATCGGGTAAACATATCCATCCCTTCGCTCAAACTCAGAGAACAGTGTCTCGTTGCTCAAAGGAGGGCTGTCACAGGCAATCACTCCTCAACCAAGTATCGTCTAATTTGCCAACGAGAGGTTAAGGCGAAAGCGTCTGCAGCTGCGACATTAGCTTCGCTGCCTGTCTGGAACTCCGCCAGACGAAGGCCTTGCATTGGAACCATCTGAGAAACCATAATATGTGCTTTCGGGAAGTCGTTCGCCACCGCCTCAATGTCGTCCTTGTCAGAGCACACACGATGATAGAACTACTAGTTCGTCCATCGCGGCCACTTGTTGCGATAGGCCAGAACTATGCTCACTGTGCCCCAGGTCTTCTTCGGCACAAAATTATAAAACCCATAATGGACAATCATCTTGAGCTTCGTCCTTCTCTCTTTTATCACCTTTTTGTGCATCTGAGTCTCATAATACCGAGCGAAGGTATCAACACTTAGAGCGCACCCAGCCATTTTAAGAGCCATCGTGAAAATGCCCAGTCGGGCGAAGGCGTTCGGCGTCAACTGATGGATCTGTAGCTTGAAATGTTGCAATATCTCATCAACAAAATCCTCACAGGGGAATCGTAGCCTACCTCAAAGAAATCGTGAAACACAACGGCTTTGTACACCTCCGGACTAGGCACCTCCTCTCTCCCGGGAGCTCGACATAAACAACGAAGTGTAGCCTTGAGCAGCCCGTGCTCCACGTATTCATCAAACATTTACTCCGTGTTTACACCAAAATTTAGGAAGAAGAACGCGAGAACTCGAAGCTTTTAAGATTGTGTCATCAAGGAATCGATTGTATAAGGGTTGATATCAGCTGATTCAAATGCAGCACTGGAATCGGTTCTCTTCAGATGATGCCAGCAGATAACGACAAAAAGCTACGGTTGGCGTCGGAAAAAACATGTCGGACTCTACAAAAGGGAAAGATTAGGGTCCAAGTTATCTTAAATTAGAAATATTTTATCTTATGCCAGAGATTATAATGAGTCATACTTAAGTATGATTCATGCTTAGGTTAAGGGTATAAATATTAGACCCCGGCTATTGTAAAAATGATATACAATCAATCAATACAAATTATTTTTTTCGACTCCGTGCCAACTCTTAGGAGTAGGAGTATTGTAGATCTCGGTGAGTTCTTCAACAAGCAGGGCTGCATCGGTCCGGCCGACCTCCGGCTTGTCTGTGAGTATTGTCACACCCAATTTTAAAGATAAAATTGAATGCACAAAACTCGTGTGTGCCCAGAATCAGTCACACACATAAGCTGACAAATTACATAATGTATCATCACGATGTTCATACATCAGATCCATAATATAACTTAGTCTTACATTTCACAGCGGAATATAAAAAGATAATAAAACTCTCGAGGGCTTCATCATAGGGAAGGTCAACTGGTTGACCACGAGCCTAAAAATCCTCCAGGAAATCCTCATACCCGTTGTCATCTGTTACCCATCCGGGATTTTTATCCAAATAAAGAATATAAACAAGCGTAAGTACATTCCGTACTTAGCAAGCTAACATGGAGTTATGAAGCTCAAAAAGGATTGACTCTGGTTTACTGCAGTTAGCATTTTTAGTAGGTCAAGCTTTTATTCTCAAGTATTATCAAGTTATGCTTAAGCTCCCATTTAATCCCATAAGAACATATATCAATGTAAAGTGTATAGTATACCATCATAGAACATCTTAATTGAACATCATCAAGTATCCAGTTATTCTGTGAGTTTTCCGGGCCGCTCGTGACCGTGAGCACGGCTGTTATAACAGTTTGTTACCCTCTGCAGAGGTGGTGCACATTCACCGCGAGTCGTGATCCCCATATGCCCGGGTTAATTACTCCCATGTCACTACCAAGGTGAGCGGGCAGGGTACACTATGAAGCCATTTCATAGGTTTCTCTAACAAGTTAGGGCCGCTAGGTTTCCTTGGCAGGCAGATGTAGGAACCCCCTTTCCTATGGCACATATCCATCGCGGCTATACACATAGGAACAGAGGCAGCCCTATACCCAACGTGGCAAGCCCCATTTACGCCAAAAAGGTAACCTCTAACTAGCTAGAAAAAGGTCCTATTATTGAGCTAAAGTCGAGCCATATGACTCTCACGGTTGCCTTTGTCAGGTCCAGCTTTTGCCGCCGACAGATAAGTCCTTATGGAGGGTCAGGAGCAACATGATCAAAGGTCATTTGCACCTTCGCCCTATGGAACAGTTGTTATAAATCATGTTAAACTCTTAGTTCCATAGTATCATTCATCATCATGTATATCAAGTTCAGTTAGAGCACTAGCAATCTACCCATATGCATTTAACCCATAGGAGACAAGGAACAGGATAATCAATCACTAGAATGTCCTTATGGGTATCAAAATTAGACACATGCAAATGAGTAATTGATTAAAGTGAAATAGGACATCAAGGTAGGCCCATGCTATACTTGTCTTGGTTCACAAACTCTTGCTGGTCCTGCTGGTCGTCGAAGAGTTCTTGGTCTCCAACGTTTTCCTCACCGTCTGAACACGACCAACACGGCAACATACAACATTCCAAAAGCATTCATGCAAAGCAAACATTCCTATCATTAGAACAGTACACCAACAGTATTGAAAACAAGATAAAATGTTTGTAAAAATAATCTACTTCTCGCTACGATCACGTCAACGCGAAGTTCACGAAAAACAGAGCTAAAATACAAAAGGTATGATTTAAACGGGTTTTCCTATAGCCATATATTTAATTAAATCTAATCATGAAACTAAAAAGTTCCAAACTTGACTAACAGTAGTTCTAACATGTAGCTTATGAAATTACGAAGCTAACACGATTTGAATGTATCAATTCGGAGCTAAAACGACAATTTTATAAGCGAAACAGTTGAAATGGCATTTCTGTAAATACTGAAAACGTATTTTTGACTTAAGCCGTGAAGTTTATGTTTTCCAAACGAGATTGCGCATTCGTGTAACTACGCCTTGGGCTGCAGGTTAGGACTTAGAAAAGTCCAGGGTCTCTTTTGCAAATCAGCCACGCGAAGGGGTATCGGAAGATCTAGGTCGTCAGATCATGGATGGAGGGCTCGGATTAGACCTGGGGAGGGAGAGAGAAGGGTTCCGGCCGGGCACAGTAGCAGCCGCGGCGGCGCTCCATTTCCGGCGACGAGAAACACGCCGGAGAGCTCGGTTACTGGCCTACGACCCACGATTGGCGCAACCGAACGCACCGGAAGAGAGGGAGGGAGCAGGGGATCACGCTCAGGTCGAGAAGATGGCCGGAGGGGAAAGCCGAGGCAGCGGGCGCCATGGCCGGCGGCCGAACGCTTGCGGACGCACACAAAACAAGGTCTACGGCCTACGAAACGGGAAATAAGTTGCACGGGGAGAGAGAGGGGATCACGGTGAAGCTCACCAAGGGAGAAATGGAGATGGGGGCGGCTCGGAGACGGCTGTTCACGCGGAGGTTCCGAGCTCGGCGATGGCGGATCCCGGCGACCTTTGGCTGCGGCTGTTGTGGCCTCTGCTGCGCTCGGCGAATGCAAAGAAGAGGCGGGGAGGCAACAGAGGTGCGTGCGGGGCTCGGCTGCTATTTAACAGGGCCGAGGAGCGGGGGGCGCTCCCACGACGCCCGTCGTGGGCGACGTTGCTTCTCGCAGCCGGCCGGCGCGCGGCGTTCCGAGCCAGAGACGGATGAAGACGGCGCCGACAAGCGGGGCCCGGGCATCAACGGCTGGGGAGGAGCGTGGGCGATGGTTGCGCCAGCCGTTCGGTTGAGCTGGCAATGGTTTGAGCAGCCACAGCAGCAGGTCAGTCATCTTCTGGGGCATTGGCCAATGAAGGGGAGGGGATGCGAAGTGGGCCGAGGAGAACCAGTCATGGGTGAAGGTGAGAGGGCCTGCGGGCCGAAGTTCAAGAAGGGAGAGGGAAAAATGATTCTTTCCTTTTCTTTTTCTTCTATTTTCCAAAACCCTTTTTAAATTCAAATTTCAATTCTTTTTGAAATCTTTAACAAATTCCAAGCATTCACAAAATGATATGCAGCAACATGTATGCATCAAAAAGTTTCTATCCTTATTTTTAAATTTTAATTCCACAAAATTTATTATTTCTCTATCTTTTAATGCACACACATTTGCTTAAATAAATCATATTTACTAATTTTAAAAGAATGCAAATTTTAAGATGTTACAATTCTACCCCCCTTAAGATGAATCTCGTCCTCGAGATTCGGGTGATTGCTTACTCAAACAGTTGGGGATAAGTCTTTCTCAGATCCTCTTCTCTTTCCCAAGTAGCTTCATCCTCTGTATACCGATTCCACTGCACCTTGCACATCTTTATGATTCGGCTTCTCGTAACTCTTTCAACAGTTTCCAAGATCTTTA